TGTGGAGGCAGGGGGCTGGCTGTGGAGAGCACATCATCACGGCATCTCTCATGTGAACTCTCAGTCCTCGTGGTAGAAATAAAGGGAAGCTTCCACCTCTAGCCTTGTGGGCCCATCCTCTCTGCCCTCAAAGGCCCCTATACACCACTGCTCTCTATGAGACTTTAAGCTTCTTGAGGGCAGGAACTTTATCCTTTCCTTAAGTCTCTGGAACTTGCATTTGGCAGAAACGTAATAAAATATCAGTTGGATGAATGATCAACCGAGTGGCCTTCATGTTTTTCAAAAACATCCTCTGTTTTTAACAGCCCACAGACCAGACATGATGGTAGACGCTTCACAAAGGCTCAGGACTTTTTAAACCCGATCCTCAGAACTTTACCAGGTAGATTCTTTCCCAGGGAACCCTGAGGCTCCGAGAAGCTGAGCGCTGGCCCAGAGTCACCCCGCAGGGCAGCAGCAGCCAGGCGCTGGGGTCCCAGTTTTGGATCATCCAGAGCTGCCGACTGTTCTTCACTTTTTTCCGCCACCTGCCTTCCATGTAATTAACGGATAATGAATTTGTTTCCCCATTTTTGTTATTTATCAAAGCCGTATGTAGCTGTCAATCAGAGTGTCTGGCGGCAGGAAAAAAGGAGGGCTCTCCTGCGGTGTCCTCAGTCCAGCCCAAAGCAAGAGGGCTGTTGCCAGCCGGGCAGCTCTGTGGGGGGTAAGTGGAGGCAGCCAGGGGCTTTTGTGGCGATACCTCTGTGCCAGCCCACACAAGCCCTGCCAGGGCTGGGGAACTTAATAGGTACTTAAATTGCGCCAAGCGCTGGGTTAAGCACTTCATAACCCTGTGAGGTGGGTGCTATTATTCTCCCTGTTCTAGGGTGAGGGATTCAGGCTCAGAAAGGTTTAAGTGCCTTGCCCTAGGGCCCACAGCTGGGATTCAAACCCAGGGCCGCAGACTCCAAAGGCCCTGCTCCCAACCACTGCACCATACTGTCTTCCAGGAGGATGACCGGGGAGGTGCTGTGAGCAGCAAGGCCCCGAGCAGACACCTGGGAGGCGGAGCAGGTGGAGAGGAGAGGAGGACAGGGTGGGAAGGGAAGAGGCATCCAGAAGGAAAGGGAAGCCTGCCTCTCTGACGCAAGGGGTCATGAAGTGATGCAGCTGGGGACAGGCTGAGCAAAGCAGGGAACTAGGGCATCGTCCTCGGATTCCGCGGCAGGTTCAGAATTACAGGGCTGCCTACGTCTCCTGCGGGTCTCGGCTTACAAAACCCTGCAGAGCCCCACATAGCCTCGAACCTTGAGCCTTTGAGGGTCTCTGGGGCCACATCATTCCCCTCTTCCCTGGAGGGTTCCAGACACAGCCCTGGACAGATGGGCAGAGAAACATGGGGAGAGGGTGGGTTTAGAGGTGATGGGCGCAGCCTGAGGCCCTACAGGGTGGGAGGATGGAGTCCAGGCTCCACTGATGCAGTGCCTCCAGGTGCCCGGCACAGTGCCAGATCTCACCTCCTCACAGCCCACCCCCAGAAGTGGGGCCCACTATCCCCACTGTACAGACAAGATGCTCTGGTTCAGCCAATGAAAACCTCCCTGGGACCCTAAGCAAGTCATTGTGCTTTTCTGGGTCTCAGTTTCCTCTTCTTTAAAATGGGGAGAAGGCTGGAGTCGACCCACAATGTCTCTCCTCTCTGGAAACTGCCCAGCTGCAGCGTGAGGTCAGTGATGGCGAAGAGCCTGTCTACCTTCCCTTTCTCCCCTCCATCCTCCCTCCATCTCCATCCTCAGGAAGTAACTGCTGACGAACCGGAAGACCCTGGAAGACAGTGCTGCCATCCAGAGGGTTCAGGACCCGTCAGAAATAAGGGGCATTGCCGAATCACCTTTGGGAATCATCAGATACAGCCTGCTCCTTTTACAGATGGGAAGACTGAGGCCCAGCGAGGGCAAGCAGATTGGGTAATTCAGTGGCAGAGCCAGGACAGAAGCCCAGGCTTCCCAGCTCCTGGCCTCCAAGGAAAGGCCAGCTCCCAGTTGCCTCTGATCTCTCCTGTCTCCTGCACACAGCTCTGGTGGATGGCTTCCCAGGAGGGCCGGGCTCCCTCCTCCCGGCCACAGGAGCCGGAGCCCAGGGGGGAAGTCTCTCAGCAGAGCCCTGGCTGTGATCCTCAGGCCTGCTTGGAGCCAGGAGGCTGCAGCCCCGCTCGGACAGCAGAAGCAGAACGAGGGTTTTGTCCTCCACGAGAGCCTGTCTGTTGGCTGTTCACAGCCGGGAGTCGGCCAGGCTGGGCTGGGCTGGGCTGGCACAGTGAAGCCTTGTTTCCTTGAATACAAAATCTGTAGCTTTCCATCCTCGCCAGGGCCCCCAGCGGGCGGCACTTCCTTCCCTCGAAGTCTAGCTCCCTGGCCCCTTCCTGCCCGCCTCACCCCTCCAGACGCCCCACCAAGCAGCAGCAAAGCCAAGAGGTGGCTTGCAGGGGTTCAGCTCCCCCCAGTCTTCATCAAATTACCCCTCATCAAAGTAACACCAAAAATGCCTCTGTAAAAAGTGAGCTTGCTCAACAAACACAGCTTCAAGACCATTCCTCTAGCCACGCGTCCCTTCCAATCAAGCTGCAGCCTCGCAAGTGCCTGCTCATTTGGGGTGTCTGGGCTCTCCCAAACAAACAGCTCCATCTTTTTTTTTTTTTTGGCAGGGGGAGGGATGCTGTGGAAGCCCAAGAGAAGGAGGACTCTGGGAGAAAGAAGATGCGGGCTGGCAGTGGGTCCACGAGGCGGAAAATCAGCCATGAACATGGAAGGGGGTGTTGGAGGAGTGTGTTTTCCCACGTGGAAACAGATCTCTGTGACAGGAAACCCAGAAGGGAAGAACATGGGTTTCAGAGTCACAGACCTGGGTTCAGATCCCGGCTCCATCATTTTCTAGCTGTGTGGTCTTGGCAAGTTACTTAACTTCTCTGTGCCCAGTTGTGCCCTGGTGATGATTACAGTTCCGTGTCATGGGGACGCTGGGAGGAATCCACTAAGGAGCTCCTAGTGCCTCCGCACTGTCAATGCAGGGATCCTGTCAATGCAGGGATCGTCTCCCCTGCCCTCCCTGGGAGAATGGCTCTACAAGGAAGTTCCAGGCAGTGAGGGTGTAACCTGCCCTGGGCTCAAGAAGCTTTCAAGCTATACGGGCTGGAATCCTGGAAATCCTGCTCTCCTGACGGCACCAGTCTCTGGCCAGGGAAAAAACTCTAGAAGAACTCCCAACCAAGACCCTAGTGTCAAAGAGACGGCTCCTCAGGGGCCAGAGACTTCCACGCAGAGGCCCAGAGCAAGGTTAAGGACTCAGTTTCCCCCCAGGCTGACCCTTGGAAAAGTATGGGGCTCCCAGCCATCTAGGCTGGAGAACCAAAAACCTCTTCCCCTGCACTGGGGCCAAATGCAGAAGCGGCAGTGGCAGCGAGCTGTGAGAAGTGGGAAAGAGCCTTTCTCAAGCTGTGCGGTTGCAAAACACCCCCTTCCTGGGCTTCCTGCTCGCTGTCTGGACACACAGCCCCAGCCTGCCCGACCTCCTGCCCCAGGCAAGGTGGGGCCAGCACCCCTCCCTTGGCCTTGGGCTGCCTGTGGCGGGAGGACAAGACCTCCTGACTCCCTCACCCGAGACTTGGCCCCAGCATGGTTCTACCCCCTTCCAGATCCCCTCCAGACCATACCCCTGGGCTGCTCCCCCTCCAGGAGCCAGTGGCAGGGGGATGGGCAACAGGAGGCAGGGAAGGGTCCCCAAGGGAGGGAGAGTTGGCTGACCATCTCAATCCCAACTGGGTGGACCCACAGATGGAACAGAAGGGGACCTGGAGCCCCTTCTCTCTGGTCCCTCCACAGAGATTTTAAGTTTTTTGTGGGGGGAGGGCTGAGGCCACAGGCCTGGGGGTGACCGTCCAACTTGCTGAGAGCAGGGTGTGGAATTATACGGCGTAAAGGGTAGGAATGAAAACAACCAGGCAAGTCAGATGGGAAGGTGTGGGGTGTCGGGGACCCTGTGTGGGGAGGGAAGGGGGCACCCAGTGGAAGAAAGGGAGGGAGATGAGGGGCTTCCGACAGAAAGCAGGGGGGCACTGACTGCAAAGCTGCTGGGTGCGGGGTGGAGGGAGGGCAAAAAGAGAGAGGGACGTGTGGAGAGAGGGGACTCAGCCCTGAAGAAACGACTTTGGGGGGGTTGTACAGACCTGCAGAGTGGGGGGCAGGGATGGAAGGGTCCCTCCCTAGGGAGACTACCTGAGGGTCAAGGATTGGGGTCCTGGCTAACAGTGGATGGGGGTAAGAGTGGGAGGGGCTGAAGGGTCTTTGAGCACAGTTTGCTAGCAGATGCTGACTAACTGGAGGGGAAGGAGGGGGCTGCCAGAACCTATGTTGAGGGGGATTGTGATAAGCAGAGGAAATGAAAGGACCCCAGCAAAAGGAGTGTGTGTGGCATGGGTGCAGGGAATGGTCACCTTTGTTAAGGCGCTGGGGGGTGGGTGTTTTTGACCAGCATGTTGGGATGGGGGTGGGGAAGTGGAGTAGCTGGGGAGCGGGACAGGGAGGCCATGGGTCCTCAGTCTCGGCGTGCGGGGGGTGGGGGAGCGTCACTAACTGGGAAGGGGTCCTAGGCCGGAGACCCAGAGTCTCCAGAGCCGTGTGTGCGGGGGTAGTGGGGGCTCGCGGGGACTCGTGATTATCTGGAAGAACCCGCGCGGTCTCCCACTCCGTGTGCGCGCGGATGGTGTACTGGGGGCGGCGTCACCACGAGGAGGGGTCGCGTGCCAGGGGCCGGGGGTCCCCAGACCCACATGCGTGGTGGGAAGGAGGTCCTGGAGCCTCGTGGTTGTCCGGAAGGGGCCGCGGGGTCCCCATCCCTGGTGTGTCGGGGTTCGGGGGCGCTCGGTTGGCAGCGGGGGTCCCGGGGCGGCGCGGGGTCGGGAGTCCCGGGCCCGAGGCCGGCTCGCGGGGTGGGTGGGGCTGGGTCGGGCGGGCACTCACTGCTTGAACATCTTCTCCATGTCCTTGATCTGCTTCCTGGAGAACTCCTTGAACTCGGTGTAGGGGTTGAAGACGCGGCGGCTGGGCGACTGGGGCTCGCCGATGCCCTGGTTGAGGTCGGCGCGCCGCAGCAGCTTGGCACTCAGCTCGCCGTCCGCGCTGCCCAGCGCCTCTGCCGCCTCGTCGGGCGCCCCCGCCGCCGCCGCCGCCGCGCCGTTGAGCCCGGGCTGCTCCGGGGCCTCGCCGCCGCCCTCGCCCTCCATCTGCAGCCGCCGGCTCAGCTTGCTGGCCAGCTCGTCCGTGGCCATGGTGGCCCGCGCGGCGCTCGCCTCGGCCCGGCCCCTGCTCGCCGCGCGCCCGCACCGCCTCTGGCCGCGCTCTTCCTCTTCCTGACACTCCCCGGCGCCAGGCGCCGCCCCCGAAGGTGGGACTTACGCCCCTCGCGGGGCCCGCCCCGCCCCGCCCCGCGCAGCCCGCGCGCGCCCCGTCGCCAGCGCTGGGGCTCAAGTGTGCCGGGAGTGCCGGGAGCGCCGAGCCCGCCACCATCCCCTCTGTAAGGTTGAGGGGCCCAGTAAAAATCCATCCTCTCGCCGTCCTCACGGTGCCAGCTGAGCGGGAGAGGTCGGGCTGGGGTTTGGGGACCGAGGCGGGAAGAGGGGCTCCTCCCCTGCAGTTTGGATGTGGGTCAGGGGCTTAGGGGGGCGCCGCCCCCAACCCCTTCTCTGGAATCCCCACGCCGTGAAGGCGTAATCCTGTGTCTGTGACACCCTGTCGGTTGCCATGGAGACGACTCGATGTTACACACTGGCGTTCTCAATGAGGGATGCAGGGGTAATGAAGAAGGTGGACCCGGTGAGCAGGAATCCCCGTGGAGATTTAACCACAGCTGGAGCTGCTGCGTCTTTTGGAAAAGGATGGACCAGCAGCTGAGAAGGAGATGGTGCTGGGCCTCAGCCCTGAAAGGTCCTCGGAGATAGGGGGAGAGCGAGGGGGGGAAGAGGCTGGTCCTGTCCCCCTGGGCCAGCACATCACATGGATGACTTGGCAAAATAGCTGCTGGGCCACGGCTGTCGCCTGTGACTCTGCTTTATGGGAACTGGCAGGGAGATCTTGATGCTGCCATTTCTGTGGGGGGCCCAGAGGAGAGATGTCTTCTCCAAAGGCCCATGGGATGGGGCTTCAGAAAGAGGCCAGAGAGGATTTCTCTCTGTGGTCTGGTCTGTCATCTTAAAACTGCAAAGCTGTGGACCTCCAGCATCAGAACCACTGGAGTGGATGGGGGGGGGGGGCGGTGCTGGTTAATAATGCAGATTCTCAGGCTCCAAGCCAGATACGCAAAACTGATCTCTGGAGTGGGGCCCTGAAATCTGCATTTTAACAGGCACTCAGGGGAATTCTGCTCACTGAAGTGTGAGAATCACTAATCTAGAAGGAGGACTGTGCTTTGTGCTTTTTCTCTAAAATGCTAGCTGAAATGATGCTGAAGACCCTTATGCAGAAACCGCTCCCATCAGTCAATGTGCAGAGAGAAGACGGATGCCGGGCTTAAGAAACCAATGCTTTGGAGGCAGAGAACACTTGAGAATGTAAGGCCAGCAAGCTGTTATGTTACAGAGTGATTTGTACAGAACAGACCTTCAGTTGATACTGTCGATTTGCCATCGTTTAAGAATATCGCTGAATTAATTTAAAAGGCATTTGAAAAAAGAATGAAATTGAGAAAAAAAAACCTTCAGGGTTCAGAAAATGTGAAATTTTCCATAACTTATTTTTGAGATTGTTTCTGAAGGCAGTAAAGATGTTCAGCTTAAATGACATGATTTTGTTTCTTTAAAGCTCAGAATTAAGTTTCTGTCGGTGTTGGGCAGTTTGGTCCAGCTACTTACGAAAGGCAGGTTTCTATATCTCCCACATGCAACCTTGAAGGACCCAACGAACGTACAATAGTTTGTTTTTATTGAATGCAAAAGACTAGGGACAGGGTATAGAGTGAAGCTTAAAAAAGTTCTGCCTGCAGATGCTCTGGTTTGCCAAATTCTTAGTCTTCCTTATAAAGCAGCTAATTACTTTAAAAATTTTGGTAAATCTCACCTTGCTCCAATCTACGATTTAGAATGGGTCTGCATGAAATAGGGCTGCCTTTATTATGAAATGTTTTGTATCTGCTTAATGTGGGAGCAAACTTTTAATAGTAACGAGATTATGTGAGGGTTTGCCTTCTTAAAAAACAACTGACATATATGTGGAAAACCTGGGCTTTTGGTTTGAATTATTCACAGGCACTGTATGTATTAAACTCCCTGGTCAATCACCCATTTGGCTTGTGTGGACACAACCCTCGGGTTGCAGGACAGGCTCCGGGATGCCCAGCTGGGGGACTTCTTGTTCATTACCTATTGCATCTTGGCAAGAGGAGCAGAACGCCCTCTCCTTGCTGCTGTTATACTCAGGCCAAGCAGAGGAAATGCTGCCCGGATGGGTGAGCCCTTTTAACACCTCTTGGGTTGATTTTCTCACAGGTTTTCAGAGGTTTAGAGCTCTGACGCTCTGTGACTACAGGATGAGGACACAAGCTGCCCAGCGCTCTGCCCCATTTCAGAGGCCTTTGGGCCCAACACAACTGATGATCTCCTCTAAAGCCAGAGATGCATGCTGGGGGCTGCATTTTATTTGAACTTTTTCCTTCTGAAATCAAAGAAGTAGTGAAGGAAGGAAAAACATGGATAACTGATGAGCACTGATTAATTGTGAAACTTCCGGGAAACACCAGTTGCCTGTTCATTAGGGGAAGTCACTTTGCAATGACCCTGAGTGCCGTGCACCAGACATGGATTTGGGGAGAGAGAAACGATCTGGACTGGTTACACGTTACAGCATTTGGTCATGTGGAAAGAATGATCTTCAGGAAAAATCACACCCTCAGCAAAGGATTTTTACAGAGGCAGGGGTGAGCGAGAGCCAATTCTGACAGTATTCCTGTGGCAAGGGAGCTAGGCAGACTTAGTCATCCTTGACTTATGTTTCTTTTCTTCCTCCCACATCTCCTTGTGTAACTATCTTCTGGAGAATGGTAAAGTAATATTAAGAAAAACAATAGCACTTTGAAGAAGGAGGGGGCAGAAACAGGGAGGGGTGAGGAGAGCTCTTGGGTGATGGGGGCAGATGGAATGAACTTTGAGGAGCATTCCAGAGCCTGATACAACTGGGTGGTCCCTCCAGCCTGAGATGCTGGGAAAACAAGGAGGGATTAGGGAGGCCGTCGGAGATAAAGTTGGCTCATAAACTGCACCACTCACTTAGCACTTTACAAATACCAGCCTCCTAATTAATCATCACAAACGCTCCGGAGTCACCAGGAAACCCTTGATTGATTGACAAAGATGCACAGAGGTCAAGGTTCAGAGACAGTCCAAAGACTCATTTGGAGCAACTGGAGGAGTGAGAGCAGGGAATGGGGTCACAGCCTGGGTTTTCTCACCTCCTGCAAAGTCTGGAAGCTGTGTAAAAGGTGCAGTGGCGGAGAAGGACCTGTGTCAGGCAGGCGCTTATGGGACCCCTGCGCAGAACTGGAGGAAGAGGGCATGAGGGGTGAACAGCTCTATGTAGACCCATTTGCAGGTCCTACGAAACCAACCTGTCTATCTGTAGAGCTCTCTTTTTGTGGTTATCGTGGATGCTATGAATCCACTTGAAAACCAAGATCGTCTTTCAAATTAGTTGCATATGCCCAACTGGGCTGGCCGGCCAAAGAAAAGCTGAGTGCGTTTTCTGCTTCTGTTGAATCCCAGGCAGTTCAGTGTCCAGTTTTAACACCCGACAGGCCTGAGTCTTAGCTGTGTTTTAAACTCTCAAAGAGTACGTGTGTGTGTGTGTGTGTGTGTGTGTGTGTACGTACCTTGTGGCTTAAAACCCAGCAATGCTGCATCTCCTGCACCCCTTCCAAAGATGGCAATAATGTGGGCAGCTGATTTTGATTTTTATACTACGCTGTGAAAGCAGTGTGCGTCTACATCCAGGCAATCGCGACATATTTATTAAGTGTGTTGGGCACCGGGCTCTGGTCCTGGGATTCTTCTGGTCATGGGGAGGGTGGGGGGAGGAGCAGGACTAACCAGTTTGAAGAGTGAGATTTGTTGGACCCCACACTGCGGGACTGAGAGAGGCTACAACTCTTCCTGCTAACCCCTCCTCTGCCTGGGACTCAGCACTTATGAGAACCCACAGTGAAGCTGTTAATAAAATATCTGACATCCCTTACCCCCCCAACTCAACTTCCCGGAGGAAGGGACCTGTCTGTCTGGTTTGACTTTGGCTCCTCGGTGCCCAGCATGGGGCCTGGCCTGAGGGACATGTTGGAGAAATAATTGTTGCATGAGTGCGTGATGGCCTGCTCTGCCCGATGGCTGGGGACGGACTGGACGTTTTCACAGTGTCTCCTCCAAAGCATTGGTGGCCCAGTTTTAGGTCTCAAGGTCACTGCCAAGAAACAGAAGCTGCTAAAGTGACACCTCTATGCACCCACATGACTCAGTACAAAAGTTAACAGGAGCTCTTAAAAACAAGCTTCTCAAGTATCTGTCCCCTGTTCCTCTGAGGATGGCATCAGCAGCATCAGATAGAGATTGGAGCCTGCTGGTCCTTGGGCATCAATGTGGCCCAGAGGTCATTTGGCAGCTGTCTGCTCAGCAGACAAGGTGGAAGGAATAAATGGGAGGTACAGATAAACACTGCATGTTCCTGCTGCAGGGGCACCCAAGAATTTGGGAAATCGAAAGGGAAATTGTGAAATTAACACAGTGCAGAGATAGACAAAGTCAGCTGAAAGAGAGAGCATGGTGCCTAGGCAGGGACACCTGACCTAAGGTATTAACTAAAGAAAGAAAAGCAGGTGACTCTCAGAAGGGGGCTAGTAAAGCAGGTTGCCTAGAGGAAGGGGTGTGGCCCAAAGGCTTGGTCCTTTCAGGCTTGGTCCAGTGGAAGGCAGGCCTCCAGACTCACAGGCAAAACTCCCTATGGTCCAGATGCAGGGCTCTGGTGGTGAAAGGCAGTGTGGTATAATGGTTAGGAGACAGGTTTGAAAATTCCAGTGGGGTGACCTTGGGCAAGTTGCTTCACCATTCTAGAGGCCTCAGTTGCGTGGTCTATAAAATGGCAGTAAGTATCTCCTTCCGGAGTACTTGAGAGGATTAAATGAGAAAATTTATGTAAGGTGTTTAGTGTAGTACATGGCGCATAGTAAAAGCTCTCCATGATGGAGAAGATGACAATCTGGCTTCCTGGGAGTCATGTGGCAGGCAATAGCCCTGAAGATATTAATAATCTAGTCTGGGTGAGAGTTGAACATGGGGTCAGCATATCTGGCCCACTGCCCATTTTTATAAATAAAGTT